ATTAAAACGTATGTATGAGTATTTAGAGTGTGTCAATGTCTAAAGTAGTAGTTGTTGCTGTTGCTGCTGGTTGTCGCTGTTGTTGTTGTTGTGCTGCTGAGTGCAACATTGGCATTAGTGGCACAACATTTGTCAGGTGGTTGCCCAAAGCTCTAAAAGCTTCGCACTTTAATTGAATTGTTACGAGTTAAGTGAACCAACCAGGGGTCACTCCAAAGGGGTCTGCCAGCCGAAAGGGAAAGACAGTGTTAGAGAGGGAGAGAGAGATAGAGTGAGAGGGGTGTAGCTCATGGTCAAAGGGTAAGCCATCAATTAGTGGCAATAGCCAAACCAAAGAGAAAAGTTGAAAGCGTGGCAAGAGCGAGGCTAAAGTTCAAGCAAAAATGTAAAACATGAACATGGCTAATGCCAAAGACCAAGTACAGCATGACTTGGCTAAATGCGACTGGCCTGGATTAACAAACAGTTAATGATTTTTCTTTTAGTTGATAAAGTTCTTAGAACTCAATATCTCTAGGCAGCAGTCAAAACTATGAATTTTGTAGGCTTCAATAGTATAAATATAGACTTAATTGTAATATATTGCGCATGGCTCATTTAAATTTTCATAGAAATTTTATATAAATAAAAAATTCTAGCAAACTTTGCCACATTTTCACATTTTTTCTATAGAAACAAGTTTTCATTTCCACAGAAACAAGGAATATATTGAAGTCAATTAAGAAATTGCAATTGTTTGCGTATATTCAGTCGAAAAACTTTATACTTTCCGCTTGACATTTGTTGCATCTGTGCAATTCAATCAATTCAAGTCGCCGAGAGCAGGCAACTTCGGTCCAACATGCAAAGCCATTAAAACAATTAGCCAAATGCAGTGCACAAAACCGAACAAGCTGCTGTTCAGCTATTCGGCTATTTGGCTGTTCAGCTGGGAGCACATAAAACGTATCCATAACGTGGCTGGGCAAGTGCCTAATATCCAAATGGACAACAACAATAGCAGCAACAGCAGCAGCAGCAGCAAGCGATAGCGCATAGGGCTAAAGGGAAAGCACACAAATTGTTTTTATCACTCATACGCTGCATGAGCCACGACAACAAATGCGTCCCCAGAGTGTACGAAAGAGAGAGAGATAGAAGCAAACAAAACGCCTACGTTAATTACGCTGCTGCAACAGCAAAAGTAACAACAACAACTGAAGTCACAAGTGTAATCTAAGCTATATATGCTTGTGTGTGAGACTGTATGTATATGTGTGTGTGAGTGTAATTGAAAATGACTCATTTGAAAATCCAGCAACTGCAAATGCAAAATGCAAACACACACACACACATACAGTCAAACAAGTGACCTTTTAATATTTTTTATAATCCATCTCCAATGTATCATAATTTTCTTGCATTTTAATTTGCAAGATCTGCCAGGGTAGGTGCGAATAGAGGAGAGGCCTGTCACAGCTAAGTGCACTAAAACAAATTGCCATAAGAACCACCTGTAAAATGTCAAATACACAAAAAATGCAGGCGACACAAATTTTTGGTCAGCACCGAGTGAATCATAATTAAGCAAAGCTAGAAATTGGTGGAATGCAACGACTAGACAATACCCTACATATTAGGAAGAGTTTATCTTATTATATATATTTACACTATATTATATATATATATAGTCTACATATATCACAAGTTTAATCAACTGTAATTAATAATAAACAATAATAATAAGAATAATCCATTCAATTTTTTTAAGAGCATTAATAATTTTTTATAAAAATAACCCTAAAATATTTTTATTTATTTAAAAATGCCTGCGATTTCTCTTGCTTTCTCGACGCTTTATTCTAGTGAAACGAGTTTAGAAATACAAATCTGCTGACATCATCAAATGGACGACTTTTTAAATGTTGCAGCAGAGAAAATAGAAGAAACCGAAGTTCTCGCTTTGGCGTTCACACTTTTAATCAATAGTATATTACTTCATAATACAGATTGTAATTCTACGTAGCTGAATCACCGCCAACTAGTGCCCCGCATATCGCTTTTACGGAAAGCGAAAATAAAACTCAATTCAATAACGCCTTAGTCACTTGATCGACCCGAGCACAGATCGTATAACCGAGATGCCGGTGCCTGGTAGTCGACGCCTTTATCCCGCCGCCACTCCCCGTTGCCCGACCCATGATTCGGTTTCAATTCAAAGTATTACGAATATAGATGACGAATGCACACAGCAAAATAATAAAAAAGAAGAAATTAATAGAAAAAAAGACGGGGAAAATACAACAGTTGACATAATTTCTCTTGTTCTTGTTGTTTTTTTTTTTTTTTTGCTCAAGCTGATAAGAAAACGCTCTAGAAACACAGTCAACACTTTGCTTTTGTTTATGGAACCATTTTATCGTACACTGTGTGTCTTCCAACTTGTTCTTGTTGTTGGTAAGCGAACGTGACGGGAGCTACAAATTTGCTGATAAGAATTAGTTATATATGTGTGTGTGTGTAAATATTGCTTGAATTCTGGGAATTCACCATTTTTATATTTAAAAAGCCTGCTGCTTCCACAGAATTCCAAGTGCAAAAGCCATCATGAAATCTTAACAAGTTTATATACAGATGTATTTGTATATATGTCTAGTATATAATATATATAGGTAACAATGTGACTTTTTATTTAGTTGTGGCTACATTGAGAGCAAAAGTTGGGCATTGAATTCCGTTAAGTTTTCACACGAAAACGTTATACAAACTACAGTTGCAAAATATAGTAGAAGCTTTTTATAGAAATTATGTTCTAAATATCTCTTATTATATATACACTTTAATTTGTTAAATGACAAATCTGTATATAATATATATTGTACTTATTATTTATGTATCTCAGTATAACAGCAGTTAAAGCTTTTTTTTATATATTATATATATATATCAGTTTTATTGTTTTGATATATTAAATATACAAATTAAAACTGTTTATTTGCTCTTCATAATAGTTTTAAAGTACTAGGTATTTTGTATAACAGTATTATATTCCCAATTATGCATTCTTTATAGCAATCTAACTTCTACAAATGCGATTAGCGAGGCTCTACCGTAACTATTTTTAGCTTCACTAAGAACTCTCGTTTGGGTTCCTTTGTAAACATTTTTCACAAATTTATTGACTTAAATTTGATATTTTAACTAATGTGCCTTTTCAATTAGCCTAAAAATATTAAGTTACCAACAAATGGGAAATGTGACCTATAATGGGGAATACATATGTACACTTATACATGCATATGTATACATGTGTATATACATGGGTATAGGCCTTAAGGACATATCTGGAAGGAAATCAGCTTTGACAACGTTTTCAATAAAACTAATGAAAATTGTTTTTTAAGGGCAGCTGCTTTAGGCTTATTTGTTTCCTTTATCATCTTCCTTTTATGCTGTGTTGTTTTTTTTTTTATTTCTCTCACATCACATTTTTTTCATATTTATTTTGTGAATATCTGAATCGTATGTGATTTGAGCATTTTCCTGTCTTATTTTTATTATGGCTGCGTTCTTTTTGCCTTGTTTTTCTGTTTGTATTTTATGTTGGATTTGCATTTTCAAGCACGTACGAAATAACAGCAACAAAAACACAAATTGTTGACGCCAAAAAGCAACCCCCCAAGGGGCAGTGCGAGAGAAAGAGACGGAAACATGGACAGAGGAGGGAAGGGGAAAGGTAGGCAGTCAACTTCGCTAACAAATTGCTGTGTTGTGCTCATATCCTGGCAGAAAGTCCAGGAAGTTGTCGACGCCGCACGATAAGTGCAGGCGGGCAGGTTGGGGCGGGCGGGGAACTGTCAAAAAATAATAATAAAAATAAAAGAAAAAGCGACTATGTAAATCAAAAATTGCTAACAAACCATAAAAGCGTCGGCCAGGTCATAAAACCTGAAAGTCAAAGCGGTAAAAAAGATGGGCAAAGACGAAGAAGAACAAGAAACAACACAGCAGTAGAAGAAACCTCCTATGCACGTCAACAGTTCTTTTTTTATATAAATACATACATACATAAGTATATATATTTTTTTTGGTTATTTTCTGTCTCGTTCTCTGCTTTCCTTCTCTTCCCTCTGCCTGGACACGTTTTGTGTTTTTACAACTTTTACTTTGTTACCGAAATAAAACAAAGGCGGTCGCCCTTAGGGGATGTTGTTGTTGTTATTTGCCCAGGCAGGTTAACGATGTCTGTTAGGTGAGACAAGTGCACAAGAGCGAGATGGCGCGATAAAGAAGCAGAGTGAGAATGGGCGGGCAATTGAGAGAGTACCAACTACAATGTGGAAGAGGGTGCAATGACTGCAACTTTTAGCGTTCGTCTGTCGGTGTATGTGTGTACGTGTAAAGGAGAAAGTCCCGTTGAAGCTGCTCCGTCGCCCCCTTTTAGACCCAGTTCTAAAGCTCCTGCATAGTAATTTTACCGAGGGTTGCGAGCAGACAAAGATACAATGTTTAAAAATAAAAAAGGAGACGTAAAGAAACAGGAAGGAGGGAGCAGGGAGCGGTAGGGTGGGCAAATACGTGACACCGAAAATTCGCGTCAAATACATTGCCCTCACAAAAGGGTTTAACCTTGGACTTCAGCTGACTAGAGAGAAAGAGAGATAGAGCGCAAGAGGGGCACAGCTAATCAGGCGCTGGTTGTCACGCGGCGCGCTAAGGCAGCGGGCGGGGGATCCGCTTGCTGCACTCTTTCGTGCATGGCACTAACAGAAAATATGGCTGACTAATCGACGCAAAAAACCAGCTCCTGATAAGTCGAAAAACACAACTCAAATAAAATTGGAGGCAAAGCCCAAATACATTTGCATAAAATGGGCAAAAAATAAAAAAGAATTGAAGATAAGTGTGAAGCATGAGTATTAAGAATATATATTTATTATATATATACCCAATTATATATTATATATATAGATAAAAAGAACTGCTTCTGCTGTTGTAGTTGGAATTGAAATTGTACTAACCTCCAAAGTGCTGAGCTGATTAACCCACTGGTAAGCCTAGAAACAAATGCAAAATCGTACGTACATATCAGACAAATAAGAGAGACAGAGATGGGTTGTAGTTGAAGAAGAAGAATAGCGCACCATTCGTCATTGTAAAATAAATATATAAAATTGGAGAAAATAATAAAAAAGAACACTTGTTTAATCTAGTTAAGCATACGTGACAATCGAATTGTTATATTACTTTAAATGCTCTTTAGGAAATATAAAGAATTTACCAAAATTGACCGGTTTACACTCACACACACATACAAACTCTCTCCGCACATGCCTCACTCTAAATCAGCTGATTTACCAACACTCAACTTCAGTTTTAAAGCTAAAATAAGCCGCTATAAAATTTGCAGTTAAATTGAGAGATTAAGCGTGTGTGTATGTGTGATTCTAAGTGTGCGTGTGTCTTTCTCACTCTCTCTCTCTCTCTCTCTCTGTATCTTGTCCTCTGCCTATCACTCGCAGTCTTATTCTTGACGTTTGGCATTTGAGCAACGGTTAAAACTACTAAAAATAATACAACTAAAAGCTGTTAAGCATTAATTACACAAAAGTTTAATAAAAAGCCGCTAGGAAAATTATGCACGCAGACACATACACAAACACATATAGACAAAAACTGACGGCTGTGGCTCATTTAATTTTTCACACAAGTAAGCAACAATACAACAACAATAACAAAATCAGGGCAATAAATTTTATTTAAGCGAAATTCGCCAAAAATGTTTTGCTTTGCTGTTGCTTTTGTCGATGTTGTTGCTGCGGCAGACATTGAACTTTATTATGCCGCTATTTTTTTTAACGAATTTCAGTGTGTGGGCGCAATTCGCAGCAAGAGCGTAGCGAACAAAATATACAGTAAAAAATTTAAATGAAAATAATATAAAAAAACACACACAGACAAAAGAGAGCGACACACGCACGCAGACGAATAACACAAAATGTAGTTGGGTTATTTGTTATTAATTATTCCCATTACTTGCGAGAGGCCGACAAAGAGTAAAATTGAGTTTGAGAGTCTACTTAAAATGATGCCCTTTGGGCAATTGCTTTTATTTACTTTGTTTTGTGTTTGACAGCTGCTGCGGCTGGAGAGCGATGACGACGACGAAGACGAGGAACAAGACGTGGATGGCGTTTGCTTTATGCCGCTGCTTCTTCACTTTTCTATTGCACACACACACACGCGCGCTAAATTCGCAAGAGCATACGCACACAGCTGCACAAAACTTTCTGCTGTTTACAAACTTTTGCGACGTTTTCAAGTGCGCTCCGAGACGTGGACGTAGACGTAGACGTCGACGCTGGCAGCGACGTAAGCAGAGAGTGAACGAGAGAGCCCGCGGATGCGATTGCGACTGCGATGTCGGAGCGGCGGCAACGTAAGCTTTAACTATTTTTCTTGACTTTGCTTTTTCTTTTACTTTTTTGTTTTTGATGTGTATAAAAATATGTATGTATTTTTTGCTTGCTTTTGCTCACTGCTGCTGTTGCTGCGGCTTTTTTCCTTCTTTTTTTGCGAAACGCTTTAATAACTTTCTATTGCTATTTTTATATTTTTTAATGGCGTTTCACAAGCTTACACTCACAGTCTCACATACATACATATATACAATGACAGACAGAGAGACGAACAACGACGACGAAGGCAATGTAGAGGAAACAATGAAAAACCGCAAATACGATAATATTTCACTACCTTATTGTTATAATTTGTAATTAATTATTTTTGCAATATTTTCAATAGTTGCTCCTCTCGTGCTGATGAATTTGTTGTTGAGGTTGTTGTTTTTGTTGTTGCTGTTGACGTTGAGGATGATGAGACGACGTCAGCTTTAAGTTAAGCACACGCAATATACACACACATTCACATGCACAGGGAGAAAGAGAGAGGAACGAATAGAGACGAGAAACTGTATGCACAAACACAGTTAGCTAGCTAAAGTTGTGTTGCTGTTGTTGTCGTCGACGCGTACACGTAGCAAAATTTTGCGAGCTTTGAACAAACAAAACGTACGAACGAACGAACAAACAGTGACAGTGTCCAGCCCAGCTGATTTCAATTTTGTTTGAATTTCTACGCTTTGAACCACGCGCACAACGAACTGGCCACGACAAAAATTAAAATGAAACTGAATGGCAAAGACAGTCGACGACAAACACAATCCAGAAACCGGTGGAGAGCGGTCCATGCGCAGTGCTCAACCAAAAAGAGAACACGACTGAGTGAAAGAGATAGTGCGCGTGCCTTTAAAGTGCGAGTGAGTGCGCCTCATATAAATGAATGGGCGGCAGTCTGGCAGAGCCGACAGAGAGAGCGGAGCGGCTGAATTGAAAAAAAGTAATAGAAAAGCGCCGGTATGCGGCGATGTCTCTGGCGCAAACGGAACTATTTGCAGCGCGCTCACTGTTTAAGGCGCTCTCTCTAACCCCCGCTTTAACAACAAACTCACTCTGCCACCGGAAAAAAGCAATTGTGGCGGGGGTGTTTTTATGCCCTTTTCGTAATGCCGAGAGCGCCAACAAGAGCAAGATAGAAAGTGCAGAAGAGAGAGAGAGAGAGAGAGAGAGAGAGAGAGAGTGCTAGGGAGCTGCGTTGACGTCAACGACGCCGTCGTCGTCGTCGTCTGACTCAACCGCAGCGCCACCACCCAAATTCGCACAGTGGAGCAGAACTCGAGCATATTGAGGCAATTATTACTTCATTCATCAATTTTTCAGCCGTTCGCTTTGGCACTTTTCGTTTGTTGTTCGCGTGTAAAACGATGTTAATTGCCGTCGGCGTCAGCTTTAGCGCTGCCGCTGGCGTCACTTCAGCAATGATTTTGACCGAACGCCTTGTGTTCGCCAAAAACTCAAAACAAGTGGTTTTTTGGCATTTGGCGAACGCGTGAGAAACACATTCGAACTCTCGGCAACACAGCAGCCATTGGCAGCGCCGTCGTCGTCGACGTCAACATCTCATGCTCGCTCATGTCCCCAGAAATATTTAGCATTCAGTTGTCTTCGCATCAGCTGGCAGCTTGATGTCGACGTCGACGACGCGTCGCTGTCGCCATTGTCGTTGGCGTCGCTTCGAGACTTGACCGTTTTCTATGATGATTTTTCAGGCCAATTTTCGTGTGAATCTAATGTTTTTTATTTTTTGTTTGCCATTCGACTTTTTTGTGTGTTTACAGCTCGTAAACATAAATCATATAAAATATAATGCGTTATTCTGTCTACTTTGTTGTTTTATTTATTTATTTTCTTTATTTTTTGGCTACAGACACGAAAAATAGTTGCAGTCAACGCGACGTCTCCGCCTTCGGCTGTGTTCAATCAACATGATCATTAAATGGAATTTATTGTAGTGCCAAACTGCGAATCGGCCATAAAGATAAGCCAAAAATGTTTGAAAGTCGAAATGTCAAAAGCAACTGCACCGCTTGTCAATTGGCTTGCCAGCTAACTAGCTGTTATACTGTCATATAACAGCCAGCGATTGAAGAGCAGTGATTTTAGTTACACCGATTGACTGACTGACTCATAGAACAGTTGCGATATCTATCGTATGTTCTGCGACTATCGTATCGTGTCAGCTCGTTTTCAATTTAGTTCAAGGTTTTTTTTAGCCACAATCGTGCTTGGTGTTTTTAGATAAATGTCAAGACCCTATACGAGACCCATTTCAATAGAAACCCAAACAAACACATCACGAACTGTGCAAATTTCAACGAATCAGTCGACAAACCTGTTTCTATGCGATTATTAGAAATTCCCATAACTCAAAAAGCGACAGATTGACTTTGGATTGTTTACCTGAGCTTTAAGTGATTGATGTTTGCTATAAATATACAATAATGTTGTACTGTTTAACAGTTGGCTTAAAGTGGCCAACGTGTGATTTCCCCCAAAAGCGAATTTCTTAGAACTCCAACTGTGATTCGCGTCTGAGACTTCGTTATCCGTTGATCGGAAATGTCATTAGATGAAAATTGGGAAAACGTGAAAATTGCACAGCAAATCAGCAAAATTTGATGAAGATAAAGTAATGCAAATACAAATGATATGGATAGACACAATATATATAAAGAAAAAGGGACAAAAGCAATTTTCAATGGAAAATAACAAGTTTATATGGCTTGCACTTTGTGAGCGCGCGTTAGCTACAGCGAAATACAAAAATTTATATATATCAGTTGATAAAAGACAACAACAGCAGCAGCAAAAAGAAAGAAAGTATAAGAAGAACGACAGCAACAACAACAACAACAGCAAATGACAAATTCCAAACGCAAAGCCACCAAAGCCAATCGCACAGTGTGCGGGACAAGCCGAGGGACAACAACCAGCAAGCGGCAAAGCAAAAGCAACGATAATAGCAAAACAAACGACCGACTGACAGCAGCGACGTGGCAGAGGACGCGGCTGCGGGCGCAAAATTTTCAATTGAAAACGAATGCGTATAAATGCGCCCATATGGTAAATATACAAGCCAAGGGATGAGACTAGCACGCGCGTTTGTGTGTGTGTGAGTGTGGGGTGCTGCACGCAGAAAATTGCTACGTCGCGCTGCCTACGTCACTTGCTGCTTATCGGCCGCCTGCTTGCAATTTTCATGCTGGTGCGACAACGCCGGCGTCGCAGTCAGCAGCAGTGTTCTCTTGTCGTGAGGGTGTAAATGCGTTAAAATAATCAGCCAGGCGCACGGTGCCGACGCGGCGCAGCAGCTGTGCTGCCACCACCATCCTCAGTCGCTGCGCTCTGGGCTTTGTTATATTTGCTTAGCTGCTGGTAGCAGCCGCAAGCAGAGACGTCAACGTCAACGTCAACGCAGCATCTTTGGCCGTGTTTGTACAACTGTTACGCAAAGCGACTGTTGGACTTGGACTGTTGCTTTGCACTCCACAACGCACAGTTAGCATTTTATGTTTGTCCAACTTGAGCTGCCTTCTCCCGCTCACTCACTCCCTCTCTCTCCCTCCCACACACACACCACCGCACACGGAGTCATACATCGTGTCATTCTTTTCCATTCTCTTAGTTTATCTTATGTGCATAACTTTGTTCATTTCGCCCCATTTCATTTCGTTTACAGGTTGTCAAGAAATTAAATGCTCGTTATTAGTTTTTCTCTGCTTTTGCTTCGTTTCCCCATCTTCATTATCGTCATCATCATCATTCCTATTCCTTATCAGTTATGTGTATGTGTGTACGTTCATTCTCTCTCTTTCTATCTCACTCTCTCTCTCTCTCTCTCTGTGTCATTCTCGCGCGATATAGCTGTGACTCTGCTCGTTTACACTCCTTTTGCTTCGTTTATAACGGTAACGTCGACGTCGACGTCGACATCGACTGCGCAGTCAGCATCGCCAAATGCTTTGACGACTCATCAATTTGTGCGGCTTCTTTGCCAAAGGCGACTTACGCTGACCATTTGCTGGCTTAACGCGCACAACAGAAATTGCCCCTGCCTCTGTTACCGTTAGCGTTAGCCGTTGCAAGACCCGCAGCCACCCACATAACGACACACACACACACACACACATGTATAAACAAACATTTATTGCATGTTGCTTGTCAATCGTCAATCGACAATTCTTGTCGTTGCTGTTGTTGTCGTCGATGTCGTGGCTCGACGGCAAAATTATCGCAAAAAGGGAAAATAAATATAAATGTGTATCCAAATAAATGAGTAAACATGTGTGTGTGTGCAGTGGTGTGTGTGTGAGCTGTATAAATAAGCGATTTTTATTAGACTCACAGATAAAACTGTTAATGACAAACACATTTGTGCAATGTTTTTATGTTTTGTTATGATTTTTTTTATATATACGATTATCTATCTCCTGTTTATAAAACTTCTTCTTTCCAGTTACTGTTTGTGGGTCAAAGCTATATGTGCACATGCATGAAAGGGGATGGAAGGGGATGAGGATCAATGGCTTTCCGGATTGCGAGCCATTAAATCATCAGCCAAAGCCATTCGATATTACATAACAGCTAATACTTGGCTGTATGTGCATAGAATCTATAGTGTTATTATATATTAATATATATTTAAATATATATATATTGGATATAGTTTTATTGGAAACATTCGCAATTTTTCTTCGGCGTAGTTTCTGCATGAGCTCATTGTATTAAAGAACTCATCGCTTCACGTTTCACACTCGTATCTATGGACATGGTAGGTACTGCATGACTATCATATACCCTGTAACCTTGACAGAAATAATGTATCACAGAGCAGTCTGTATGATTGGACTACTGGAATTTATGCTTCGTAAATCTCACATATATATTTATACTAAGTCTTATACGACTTGATTTCCCTATTTATTCTCGCTTTCTTTACAGGGTATCTAAGGCCACCAACTTCACGCACACCAGACTTTTGCCATGGAACGGAACTCTGGTAACTAATGCTTTCACCTGACGTCAGTGGACGAAGTCGCCAACGCAGCTGACGCTGACGCCGACGCTGACGTCGCGTCGCCCAACATTTGCATTCAATGCGAAGCAGCAGAAAAAAGCAATTGGCTAAAAATAAATACACGTATGTAAGGTCGTTATCATTCACGGGACTAGCGGAACCCCGCGCTCTCCACTCCTAAAACCAAAAACAACAGTAAACAGAAGAAGAAGAACACGAAGAACAAGCAATAGAGGAGCGACACAGGCCACAATATGGAAATCAGTGAAGTTGTTTATCGAAACGATGTTTCGGGCTGCGCGAGTATGGGGCATGCATAAATACCTCAGTATTTATCGCTCTATATACGCCAGATATCAGCGAAAATAACAACAACTGAGGGAAACAAGAGTCACATTTAGTGGGCGTACTTTTTTTTTTTTTTTTTTTTTGTAGGCTTATCGATTTTTGGATTGTAGTTTTTGTTTTGTAAATTATGATGTAGATCTGGTAGTATATACGTTACTATATCAGCAGTAGCGGCAGTATTTAGTGATAAGAGCGGAAACTTGATTACGCTGTTGCGGTACGTCAGTGGACATAAGTACGGGGTGTTACCCGTGCGATAAGGCGGAGGATATGCAATGTTATTTTTAGAAATATGTGGGAATTTGTGCAGAGGAGGAAATGGGAATTTGAGCTAATTTAGATAATATAATAACAAAATTTATTCAATTGGCAAATTTTATAAATAAATTCTTTGTTACTAACTTAATTAAAAGTTCATTAAAAAGTTTCCGCAACCCTAAATAGTATCATTTAAAACTGTAAACTTGCAAAGAAAATGCATTTTTCAAGCGACGCCTCAAGGCAAGTTGCGGCAAAATGTGGCAAAGATATTTTTGCAGCAGGAAGGCAAATGCCAAGAAATGCTGACAAAAGTGGGCGGCTAGGCGTGGCTGGCTGCTGGCTAGAAATAAGCGGAATTGCATTAAGTGCATCCGTTAGAGGGTTGGCAGATGTGTGCGTGTGCGTGTGTAGGGGTAACTGCCTGGCATCCTGTCGAGCTGTCACCTTGAGACACAGTTGCCTGGCATGTGCCAAAGGAATTCAAGGTTATGTCACAGATGGAATTAGCTCACTAACAGCGACATTTTGAGACAGTTAACTACAAAATTGAAGAGGGGGTGACACGGGGCAGGAGGGAGGCGAGCAAGACTCTAGGTAAAGCTACACGAAATCAAAGTCTCTCCCTCTCCAGTTGCTTATCAAACTTCAATTTAGCTGAGACAATTTAAGTGTTAATATCAATACGATTATGGATGGGTGTGCGTGTGTGTGTGTGTGCGTGTGTGTCCATTTTAATGATATCATAAGCTTGGACAACATGGTCATTAATGGACATCAAACATAATGAACATCGAATGGCACACACATACATGAATGAGCCATAAACTGAAGCCAGTCAGACATGTCCTGCCTGAGCTTAAATTAGGCCTACACCCACCCACACCCACCCACACCCACCCACACCCACACACCCGCCCACACATGCAGATTAAAAGACGCCTGCGCGTAAGCTTTTCATGTAATCATATATAATTTAAATAAGGTCAAAAGACGAGCGTCGGAAAATTGATAGCGCTGCGTTATGATGAAAGGTTGGCTCAAAGGAGCGCGCGGCGAGGGCAGGTCAAGCAGTTTAAGCGACAGCTGTGAGCATGCATAATATTGATATCTTAATGAGCACTGAAATTAATGGACTTTGCTGTGGGCGTAACGCTAGACAAAAGCCGAGCCAGACCGAACACTTTGATGACAGATTTTAGTGAAACTTATATAGAAATATTTATATCAATGACAGAGTTTGAACCTTGTCAATCTAATTTAAACCCAAATCAAACTCAAATTGAGTTCTATAAATAGAGTTTCTATAAATAGACGAGTTAGTTGTTGGCCTGGCCTTAATCTTTTAGACAGTTTCAAATTTGAAGGAAAAGGCTTTAGGCAAACGCCACAGCAGAGAGAGGAGCCAGAAAGGGAGACAGAGAGAGGGAGAGCGAGAGAGAGAGAGCCTAGGCCAAAGTGAACTGAAATCAAATCCATTAAATTCAGTTCAGTTCAGTTCAGCTGCGAAGCTCATTAAAATGTTTTTGGATTTGACCTGCTGCTGGTGTTGGCGCAGCTCATAAATCATTTGAGTTTTCCGCTGCATTTTCATAAATTTAATGAGCACTAAGTGTGAGCACAAGAGCAAGAAGCAGCAACAGAAAAGTTGGCGAAAAGCGTAACCAATACGTGGTCATCAGTCAGACGTAGTTCAATGTAAAGCGATACGAACACGCACACACATGCTCACAAGGGAACTGGGTCTGGGACTGGGACTGGGTCTGGGTCTGGGTCTGGGTCTGGGTCCGGGTGTGGGCATGGCTGACGCTCAACTTGGGGCAACATTTCACACATGGCGGACAGTTTTGGTTGACAGCAAATCTGAATTTGATCAGAGCGCGCAAACATTAAAAGCGCAATTTAAAAAGCCAGAGGCGACGCCGAGCACAAAAAGTGATTTATGAACGCCCACATGGAGCCACAGCACAGCGCCACCACAGCGTCACCACCACCCTGACCCAATCCGCCCCACTGCTTAATTTCGCCTGTCTAAAATTACACAGAAAAAAAAAAAACGAAACAAGAAAATTCTATTTACAGCAGGCTGTTGTCGACTAAGAAATACCCTAACTGAAATGTGCCAAAGTGAGATATAATGAAAGAGATATATGAAAGATTGTTATTTTTTTTTTTTTATAGATGGTCAGCTGAGATATAGAATAGATTTCGAGTCAGGTAACAGCTTGACAACTGTTTTATTGAATATTAATTTCAAAAATTTATAAAATTTATAACATGTCTAAAATATATAGAAAAACTATACAAAATAGCTTCAAATGGAAGTCAATTTAGTTGCTTTTATTTCTTTAGAGTCTATCTCATATAGAAGAAGTGAAAAGCTTGCAAATAATTATGTAATATACTAAAATCTACTGAAGTTTCAACTACTCAGTCACAGCTGCATAAATCTGAAGTTGGCCAAGAGATTCGCTAACTGCATCAAGCAGCTAAAATATATACAAACACACACACACAGCTATATATATCTTACATAACTTCGATCAAGCCCATGCACTGCATTACAGGGTATTCACGAACTGAAACGCAGGAAATGAGTAAAGCTGATAACACGGCGTATGCGCAATATACGCGCTTAGTCATGCTGAAGGTGCGAGCGGAGAGCGCGCACTTTGCTAAAATATTGACATTAGTTGCTGCTGCTGTCGCTGCTGCTGCTGCTGTTCGGCAACTTTTCTAATTTCTAAGCGCGCTTTAAAAAATCAAAAAGGTGAAAAACGTCAACAACAAAAATTGGCACGAAAAAAGAAATTGTATAAAGTAGAAAATGTGGAGCAAACGCGTAAATTGGCAAAGCACGCGACAGACTAAAGGGGCTAGAGGGCTGGGGGAAGGCGGGGTCGTAGGGGGGCTTATTGAAATGGCAGCCCTTTGTTTGGCTTTTGACTAACCGGGACGCCACTTAACGCGTCCTGCCGCCATTTCGGGTTAAGCCCCAACAACAGGATATTTTTTGTCCTTTTTTTCTTCTACTTTTTTTGCTCTCGCTTGTTCGCTCGACTTGTTAAAAGTGTCAATTTTCGCTTTACGACGCGTGGGCGCTCCAAATAGGGCGGCAGGGCGGGCGGCAGACAAGTGGCTGCTCTGTTTGTTTATGCTCACATGAGGCGGACAGCCAGCAGCAGCAGCAGCAGCAGCAGCGGGCATAACAAGGCGCTGAAAGGCGCTAGGTACAAGGAATACAGCGGCTCCCGCTGAGAGCTGAAACTTGAAGGGGGGTCAATGCAGACGGGCGGCGGCGTTCGAGGGGTTTCGGTTTCATGTCCATGTCGCGAGAGCTGTGACAACGTCGGGGGCTTATTGTGTTACACACACACACACACACACACACCCACACGTAGACACACACTGGCATACAGGAGCTGCTGCTGTCACTGTTGGAGCTGGCTGTCAGCTACTTTTTAGTCCTCTGACAAAATTGCCAATTAAAACGTGCCACAAGCTTGGGGCATGCAGCCCGCCTGTTACTTTTTGTCATTCTCTCTCTCTCCTCTTTTTTTTTTTTAGTTAACTTTGAGCCGATTAAGAGGCAGGCAAACAAAGCTGTGCGACAGGGTTGCCGCCTTTATTGCAGCTCCTTTAGCTAATAGTTATGCAAAGGTAGCCAAAGCCTTTAATAATTAAGCGCAAAATTGCAGCGTTTCGTGTTGCCTTTGCGCTCTCTTTGTTTGTTGTTTATTTAATTTCTCTTTCTCTTCTTCTTGCTCTCTCGACTGCTGATTAAAGGATCAGAGCTGTAGTCGCTGGGGTCGAGGAGAGGGCAGAGTCTTGTTTGTTACTTACCCACACGCTTTCTGGCATTGGGTTTGCACTCAAATTGATTGTGAA